GAAGTTGCTTAACTTCGCTGATCATACGAGAACAGGTGTTTCAACGTGAAATGGTCGCAAACACATATATTCTTGTGTCAATAGAAAAAGCGAAAATGCCATCAAGGGGAAGAAGTGAGTTTCAAAAATGAAGAAATTCCCCTAGAGAGCGGAATGGGAAAGCAATTTTACCCGGCTGGCTGAATAAATATTTATGCTTGAAATTCCCAAGGTACCCAATAAGACAGCCACCTGTAAAATGCCAGAGAATAAAGCAGAAGAAATGCTGTAGCGTTAACAACAAAGATATGAAAACGAGACCCAACAAATTAATGGCGAATAATGATATTTCCTCATCTTGAATTTTTTTTAGACAGAACTAACAAGATCAAATGTAATTGCATTTTTTTTAACAAACTTTTCTCCTGAAACTTCATGAACACATCTAAAGATTACCAATGACTAGCAGTAGAGATAGATCAAGTATCCACCATCATAAAGACTGAAAAATAAAATTGACAAAGATTATTGTTTAAGGTTGACGGACACGCATGTCTTAATTAGTTTTCTTTTTTTTTTTTTACTTTTTTTTACGAATTGGTCAAACCCAAACTCAAACAAAAACATTGTTTTCAATCGTTATGAGTCTCCCGATTGAACAGAATTTTATTATAAACAATTGTCTTGTAAATGTAATTTTTAAAGCATTCTGAATGTAAAAATAAAGAAAAAAGTGTGCAAGAAAATAAGAAATACTACCTGCCAAAAAAAAGTGTTTTTCCAATTTTTGGCGCTGTGAGAACCACCGCAAGGTAATTTTACGTAGTCCTGTGAAGTTTTGTTGAAATCGGTTGAAAAATGTAGGAAATCCGATCCAATATATAAACGAACACACACAGAACCTGGGTTTTATAATAAGTATGATTATGTTATATTATTATTAGTAGTGTTAGTATTAGTAGTAGTAGCATTATTATTATTATTATTATTATTATTATTATTATTATTATTATTATCAGCATTTCTTTTGATTTCTGTTGTATATTCACCTTCTTCCAGAGCCCAGGTCAGAAATGGCACCGTGACATTTTCTATTGAACATTTTTGTAAAAAAATAAAAATAAGACAACTTGAGAGCACACGTATTTTACATAGAAAAAGCCATTCATATGATGAGCTATACTTGTGAGATCAAATTGTATTTCTTTAAAGCATGTGCTACATGGAATCACTTCAATGAATCAATTATTATTATTATTATTATTATTATTATTAATAATAATAATAATAATAATAAACTGCAAGAAATTAGTATGAACACTACCCAGACCCGGTTACGTACATAAGACCTGTAACAATTTAATGGGGCTTTACAATACACACAGTCAGAACAATCAAAGTTAATTGCCTAGACATTGTGACCAAAGACCGCAAAGACAAAATGTATCTTCTTATTGACATGACAGTCCTTGGAGACTGCAATGTATCTCTGGATGTCTTCAAAAATCTATTAAAATACAAGGAACTTGAAATGGAAATCTAAAAAATGTGACACGCGAACATGAACAATTCCATTTGTAATTAGAGCCATCGAATTGACTGGAAAAGATTCCAATAAACTCATTGGATGAATTCTTGGTAGTCCATGCCTTAAAGAAATACAAAACATCGGTCAAACGAGTACAGCCCACACCTCATGAAGGGCTTTATCTATATAAAATATGTTTATTCTTTTTCAAAACTGCTCACTGGAAAATGTCATGCTATCATTTCTGACCTTAGGTCTCTGGTCGGGACCCGGAGAAAAATGAGTATACACCAGAAATCAAAAGAAATAAAACAACAACAATAATAATAATATATAAAACAAAGCTGTTGCTATTTGATATTTAAAAAACAATAGTGATACAAATAAAATAGATTTGTTTGATGGCTTACCAACCCTTTTTACATAATCGAAAAAATATTTTGGATTGTAAGAATAATTCTTTTTTGTAAGCGAATATTGCATTAACATTTTTTGTGGGGAAGGTGCAAATAACAATGTTTTTTTTGTTTTTTTATGTATACAAATCCTACTATTTAAACCATATCTGAGAAGAGAAAATGAATTCATATTTTCCTCAAGGTTATCTGCGCGTAAGTGAATGTGATGAACAGGACTGGAATTTGACCTCCGTCCTCCAATTTCTCATTCTGAACAAATATCCATTTTTACCACCCGCACATCGAGAACACATGAAAAAAAAAGTCCATAGAAAGCTGAATGTGGTCGGTTAAGTTATTTATCTAGTTACATCGGGGGATAAGTATCGTAGAATCTAAAGTTAAATCTTATCAATATCTATCTATATTTCTGAGATAAGGTATTATATACACTAATTAGATTATTCGGACTATTTTCCTCATCTTTATAACTATTTATACTTTGGATTTTTTTTATCTAAAACAATTGGTTTATGCAGCAGATATTAATAATCCAGAGACGCTTCATCATTCGACACCGTAAGGGAATATTTGAAAGGCCCCGCCAGTCAATGATCCAACGGGTGCTTGCGAGAAGGACATTTTTAGCATTTGTTATGAGTTACTGTGTTGAGGTACAACGATGGCTTTTTGGACATATGTTGATATGAAGATTTTACCTTGCTTTGGTGTCAGGGTCCCGTCCTGAAAGTTCGTAAAAGTATTTTTGGATTGTATCTTGGACTGTACAGCGTCTAACTTGAAACATGATAACTCAAACACGAAGGATTTGCGAACATACGTTTATATGAACTTTTGTTCTTTTTTTTTTTTTTTTGGCGGGGTGGGGTGGGTGAGGAACCCGTCTCACCCCACCAAATTTTGTAAAAGGATTTTTGATACACCCTGTAGATATATGACAAAAGGATAACTTTTCTTTACCAACGCGTTTCGTCCTCTGAATGACTTTATCACGATAAAGTCGATCATAGGCCGAAAAGTATTATTCTTTTTTTTTTATTCATATTTTATTTTTTTAGATATATTTTTTATCTGAATTTTTACACACACTCACAAACACAGACACATATGCACGCACATATGCACACACACACACACACACACACATATATATGTATATATATATATATATATATATATATATATACACGAGATCATAGGACGAAACCTATTATATCTTTTTATAAATATATTTTTTATCTGAATTTTTATACACACACACACACACACATATATATATATATATATGTACGAGGTCTGTCTGAAAAATGAAGTGGGCTGTGTGAACTGTCTGCGAAAGAGGTATAAGCGGATTGTGTTATTATCCAACACGATAAACTGGGTCTATATGACAGTAATCTTAGTTTTCTGCAACCATTGCGTTTTTTTTTTAATGCTTTTATGTCAGGACAAATTGTGGCTGCTTCATCACGACAATGCACCCTGCTCACAACGCCCCTGAGTATCCGGTTCTTCCTGGCCGAGAAGAAACTCGCCATACTGAAACAACCTCCCTATTCACCTGATCTTGCCCCTTGTCGCTCTGGTGAGTCTTAACCTATATGGCATATTCTGAAAACTGGAAAATAGTATGTAAACAATGTATAAGAAGGATTTGGTTCGAAATTTGTCTGGATGGTTACCGATTATAAAAACAGATAATTAATGAAGGCCAAAGGTTACAACGGCCGGAACATTGTGGGTATAAAAACCAAGATTACCATACTGTACTGATGCCGGTCAGTAGGACTACTTTGTCGAAGGGTCTTTATATATTTGTCAATGACGTAGATAACACCGTAGAGAATATAACACTTTGTTAAATATAAGCTTATATATGAAAGACTTCTTTCATTGACTTCAAAACAGCGCATTTACAAAATATGTAGGAAAATTTCAAAGTGTTTTATTACTGAAAATTAAGTATTTTTTAATCATTTCACATGTAACACGGCAATCAAAACCGCTAAGAGGCAAAGTTTTTAATCATTTTACTCCAAGCAAGGCGGTAATACCACTAGTACGTAAGGGATTACTGGGAGTAAAAGTGAGAGAAAAGAATGAGTATAGGGAGGATTTAGGAAAGGACAAAAGATGAACGGGATTCAAGAGGACAGAATATGGTGACTGACGTTGTATTTAAATTTTTGAAGATTGTAGTTATCAGAGAAGCAAGTAAACGAAAGGGAGTTCCACGGGCAGGAAGTGAGAGAAAAGAAACTGTTAGAGTAGAATTAGGGGTTTTATTTAGCTATTTCAACAGTAAACGGGTTGGATACCTAGATGCCAATCGATTGGCACGCTTAAATTCATGTAGTCGGACCCCCAGGGAAAAACCTCGTCAGAGCAGTTGCCATGAAAATATTTGCAGAAAAGCCAGAGGGAAGTCATGTCGGTGAGAAAGAGACTGAAGTCGAGATGCCAAGTCAGGATCGATTACATTGCAGATCCTTCTTTGGATTTTGTCAAGAATGTCGAGATGTACAGCAGGAGTACCAGACCAGATATAGCATAAGTATTCAACGACGAATGGTATATTTGTAAATTTGCAAGATGGACTCTGACAAGAAAAATTGTGACCCACTTTTCCTTGCAGTAAATGAAGTTATTGACTCAAGTCAGTTGAAAACTTATGGCCAAGAAGGTGCAGAGTGTTGTTCTCCAGGAGTCTATCGTAAGCCATGCTGACGGCAAGCAGAAAATTTTCTCTATGATGGTTAAATGAGAGCAGTACTGTGAATAAAAGAAACAGAGAGGAAATTAGAAGATCAGGATTCAAGGACATAGAAGATGGCGATTGAGATTGCATTTAAATCATAGTTGACTGGGAAGCAAGAAGCCGGAAGATGCACGTGTGAAGAAGCTTGACATTCTGTTTGCAACTCAAAGACGAGTATAGTAAAAAAAAAACAAAAAAAAAAACAATCAGATAGAAAATATAAACAATTTAGTTTTGCCTTATGCGCATATCGTCACCACACACGTCTCGAAGAACCTGCTTCAATCATATGCCGTTTAATCGAAATGTAAACATAATGAAAAATCCTACACGCAGATCTTCTTTGGGTACTCTCTGTTATTCGTTTCTATCTCGACATCCCGTTCCTTGCGTCTCAATTATTTTTCTTTTTCCCTCTATCATCTTTTATTCATCCACCCCTTTCTTTATCTCTTTCCCTCTCTATCTGTATCTGTACACACACACACACACACACACACACACACAGCATTTTTCTACACCAGTAGCACAACTCGGAGTTTCATCCACAACGCAATCATCAAATGCTGAGTTAAAACTGACCATTGGATAAAACTTGGATTTTGATATATATGACATTTATCGTAATAGTGGAGAAGGCCATATTATTTACAAGTTTTGTTAAAACAAAATGTACAAAAACACAAATCCACCTCCAACTAGAAAAATAGAATTATAATTTAAATAAAAATATAGACATCTAAGTAATTATAAGAATAATACAAAGGTACACACACACGTCATGCAATCTCTACAGATGTAATTGCATGGATATATATATATATATATATATATATATATGTGTGTGTGTGTGTGGTTACATATTATTATTACATTTACATAAAATACAAGATTATATTTTGATCTACCTAGATATTAACATGATCGATACAAAATTAATAAAAAAAATTATACATATATATATATATATATATATATATATATAATGTTCAATTATGTAACGGTCTGAAGATGACGTTGAGGTGATGAAAAATGTATATTTATTATTAATATATAATTGATAGCTATTTGTATTTGTTATTTGTATTGGCGTATTTCAGAAAAGGAAATCTTGTCTGACGTAGTTTTATCAAATTATGATAACACTGTTTAATTGTAGTACGATATTTTCTCAACAGACGGCATTACATTAGCAGACAGGCAAGAAATTAAAAATGCATGTGCAGCAATCCAACTGGACACTTTGCCCAAGCGGTAGTTTGCCGTACGAATAAATATTCGGAGGTTAAAAGCCAACATTTTGAGCATCTCTAGTGATTGTTGAGTTCAAAGTATTAATCCCATGATATCTGAATAAATTTAGTATTCAGTCACTAATGTGCCATGCGTGATACACGCTTCGGCGATCATGTATCTTTCGATGCATGACTGACATGGCATATTTTTCCCGCAGTAGGTTGCCATTTCTTTCTGCCGTAGACCAGTTGCCAGAACCCGGTCTGTCCTGCTATTTCTGAATCCTCTTCTTCTCCCCCGCCAGGGGTGGAGAGAAGAATAGGATTCATGCCTTTCCTAAGGTTATTAGCACGTAAGTGAATGTAATGGATTCGATTGAAATTCGAACTCGGCTCTCCGATTCCTCAATCCGAGCTGCTAGCCATTACTCTAACCCTACAAGTTGTTACTTTCCTGAAAAGTGCATACATTTTTTGGCGGACTCTATATATATATATATATATATATATATATATATATATATATATATATATATATATATATATATATATATATATATATATATATATATATATATATATATATATATATATATATATATATATATATATATATTATATATATTAGCTACTTAGCCTTTCTGTAACCTTCTGTTTTTCAATCTGTTCAGTTCGCCATCAATTTCAGCGCAGGCGGCTTTATTTGTTTTCTTTTGTTCTAAGTAATGTACGGAGTCATGTACTTTTAAATCTCGTTTCCTTCTCACGTCAGGTAGATAACAAGAGATGTTAAATTACCATCCCTTCTCGTCATTTTATCATGAACATATGCTACATGTAAAACTCATTGTATGTTACCCCAGCAGATAACATAATCTTCGGTTCTCGTATATCAAGAACATAGCTCTCCGCAACTTCCTATCCTTTGTAGCTCTTAGTAATATTTGTATTTTCTTTATCCCTCTCATAATTCGCAAATACGCTTTTAAGTAGGCGCCCAAGGGGGTCGTCAGTGATGTTTTTGACTTGATTCATCAGGGAGTTTCGGGTCTTTCAACATCATACTCCCCATCACCAAATCGACTCAATCAGGGGAGATCAAGCGCCCTGATCCCCCTTCTGTTTAAACGCTAACAGCCACTCTGGCCTTTTTAAAGAATAAGAGGAAGAAAGACCACATCTACCGATTGGATGTTTGTAACAACCAATCCGCTGCGTGAAGAATCTTTTAAATGGCCCGCGGTGGGGACTGGCTTCTTTTCTTATTTCGGTGGATTGCAGTTTCGATGGATAACCGAGGAGGTAATCTTAATCTTCCTAAATCTTCTCCTTAAGTATTGTATGATTTAATTCTTTGCCGTTTTTATTTTATTTGTACTTTTTTCCTTTCTTTTGGCGGGGATACTTAAGCTCAACCCTATTATCTTATCGTTTGCATGTTAACAATATATATATATATATATTTCACGTATATACAAAAATGAAATTAAAAAATAAAATTACAGTAAGCACTATAATATTCCTTAATATTGAATATATACAAATTTGAAGTCGTTAAATATAATAGACGACGAAATGATCAAAGTCAATCAAAGTAAATCTATTATTAACGAAGCTCCATATTATATTTATATGTATGTATCGCTTGAAACCGATGACAATTAAACTAATTAAAAATAATATACAAACAAATATATATACAGTAATGATCGAGAGAAAAAAAACACTATGAATACACTATATAAGTGGTTATGATTCCGATTTAAAATATATAAAAATGCGACATGTTCGTATAAATGTGAAATTGGAAAAAACAAAAGGTCTTATGTTACGTTCGAAAAAAAAAAGGACAAAAGGTCTTGCGCTCGAATAAAAAAAGGTCTTACGTTCGAATAAAAAAAAAGGTCTTACGTTCGAATAAAAAAAAGGTCTTACGTTCGAATAAAAAAAAGGTCTTACGTTCGACTAAAAAAAAAGTCTTACGTTCGAATAATCCTTGTTATATCATCCATTTACACAAGTTCGTTAGGTAGGTTGTTTGTTACTCTCCTCTATCTCTACTGAATTCAGTATAGCCTCTGAGTGCCAAATTTAACAAGCCATCTTTCATTATCTCTCCTACAAATTTCAACTGTCTTTCTGATTCTTAAATGTCGCCAGGTCCTTCGAAAAGGGGTTCCAAGCCTCTGGCAAGATTGTGTCTTCAGTGGCCAAAGGAAAAAAAAACACATTCTCGACGGTCAGACAATTTTAGGAATATTGAGTTAGTCCAATAAGTTTAGGGTATCATCGACAAGAATAGCTGAGGCCGGAACCGAAACTAATGGCGGTTATGTTCAATGGACTTTTGTGTCTATATAAGAGGATGTATACTAAATTCTGTAAAAATATATTCTTTTTTCTGCTAAATAATATGATTATCTCAAATTAAAAAGAAATGTTCCCAAATACCTGACGCGTGTAAATTCTCCGTCGAAAAAAACGCTCATAACAAAGGCATGAACCCTGTTCTGTGGATAGTGTAAGGGTTAGCGACTCGGGAAGTGAAAGCGACGAGCCGAATTCGTTGCGTTCACTTGTACACAAATACCCTTCGGCATGACGCTATCTCTTCTTCTACGGGTTAAAATAGCAGCCCTGATTAGGTTCTCTTGCCACCAGTCTCGGAAAAGGAAAACATTGAGCCAGTCTGAAAAAAACATGGACTCCATCAGACCCGTGACACGCCACTGATGTTATGACTGTAGTACATACAACATTCTTACGTCCCTAATTGGTTACAGCGCTCATGACGTGTCCTGACGTGACCATCTGTAGAAACACAAATGGTCTTTTATAGACAGATATGATTGTCAAATATCAATGATTTAAATGCGAGACGATTGTGAATCTGAAACACATGGCAATAGTATTATATAACCGGTGGAGTAATGGATAGCTTCTCGGTTTGAGGAATCGGAGAGCTGAGTTCGAATTCCAGTCGCGTCGGGTTCATTACATTCACTTACGTGCTAATACCCTTAGGAAATATAAGAATCCATTTGTTCTTCCCAATGGGTAAATAACATGATATACTGGGTTCTATAGCCTTGGGTAGCAACCGGTCTAGGAAAAATAAAAACTCTGGATTCAAAACCGGCCTGGAGAGGGTTGGGCTTTGTCAAACTTCTACTGCGGCTGAAGTACGTGTGGTGTCTCTACGACCCTGGTGGGTTACAGGATTCGTGATCGCGCAATTATTCAGAAGGTAGGCGATCATACCTCCCCACCCCACATGCTTTTCTTTATTAACTGTAAATTGCCATAGATTCTTGGGTAATATAGTATATATAATTTTATGTTGCGCTCTTCGCAATTTGGAAGTCCTTCTCCGAGATCGTAGTCTAATCTGTTATTTAACTCATAGCTAACGATAGAAGAAATGGGCTCATGCCTTCCTGAGGGATCGTATACAAAATTGGACATAACAGACTAGAACAGGAACACCGTTTGTCGATTCCATTTTCTGTGCAGGTACACCACCGACATATCCTACCATCCTCTTTCGTATTCAGTTTTCATTAATACTGCCATCTAGATCGACTAAATTTCTCTTCGAATTTCCAGTTCATCACAATATTTTACTAGGCTATTCACGACTGTTCTACAAATGCTTTTAGTATTATCGCGAGCTCCGACCGTTTATTTACTTTTATTTTTATTTGTGGTTGATCGGATCAGTGAAATACAATGGCTGTAAATTTTCTTATTATTTATAACAACAAATTCTGGTCCTCTTTCTTTCTTTCTTTCTTTCTTTCTTTCTTTCTTTCTTTCTTTCCTTTTTTTTTTTGTTGTTGTTGTAAAAATCGTTTTACCCCAAGCAAGTCGGGAATGCCACTAGTACGCAGAAGGTTACATGGAGTGAAAGTGAGAGCGTAGGGAGAATTGAGAAAGGATAAAAGGTGAACGGGATTCAAGAAGATAGAAGATAGCGATTGAATTTAAGTTTTTGAAAATTTTAGTTATCAGGAAAACAAGTAAACAGAATGGAGTTACACATGTGGAAAGTGCGAGAAAAGAAACTTTCACAGTAGAAGTGGCGGTTGCATTTAACTATTTCAGCAGTAAAACTGTGGCACCTAGATGTCACGATTGTTTAATTCGTTTTGCGTTTTCCACTGCTATGAATTTGAATGATTATGTCGCGGGCCAATTGGTATATGACTGCTGTTGGTTCACTGTATCATACTAGACAAT